TGAACTTGTACTCAACCGCTTGGGGGTGCGACAACTTCACCACTTCACTAAGTCGCCACACCCTTAGATAACAGTAATTATAAAATATATCTATGGTATGTAAAACTATGTTACATAAAATATTTATTACTATTAGTATTGGTATATACGTAAAATATATATATATATTTTTTAACTTTACCTCCCTCTACTATCCTGAAAGTCCTTAGATACCTTTAGGATCTGTCACATTTCTTAAAGGCCAGATTCATTATTTTGCAGAGATCAATGAATAGCAGGTAACTGCTAATTTTTTACCGTACTTGTGAGATAGCTCATGCTCTATTAAGTCTATCATATGATGTTCTGAGTCTCTGGCTCCGTGGTGTAGAATCCTGACTTTGAAACTTGCAGTTCTCTAATTTCATATGACCTACTAGCTGGATCATTTGTATATTTACTAATGTTCTATTAATCTAAAACCAGGCTTTCTCAATGTTAGCATCATTTGTTGACAGATTACACCTTATTTGGTTATTCCTGACTCTGTGGTTATGCTAGTAACTGCTTTCTTTTATATGAATCTTGCTCTTTTTCTTTTATAAAAATCACCCTAAAGATCATTTCCAATCATGGTTCTAACAGAGTTTTTGTTGCCCTTTGAACTTGAACCCATAACCTTGTGATTGAGATCCTGGAGTGCTAACCACTGCACTATCGACCTGAGGTCTACGTAGAATATTACATAATATTATATACATTAAATAATTATATAATATTTATTAATCGATCGATATTTATTAAATATTTGATCAATTTTTTTTATATTTATTTTAGCTTCGATTAGCTTTGATTTTTACTTATTTTAGCTTCGATTTTTACTTACCTTGGCTTCTATTTTTGCTTTATTCAGTATTTTTACCATATTCTTTACTTTGTCATTTTTTTGACCTTTTATTTTGCACTTCTCTTGCTTTTTAATTGTCATTATATTTTTTTCAGTTTTTCACCCCTCGTCTTTTTTTCATTCAATTTTTTCTGATTTTCACTCATCTGTCATATTGCTATCATTTATCTATAAGTGGCTTTTCTCTTCATACCTCTTATTCTAGATTATATTTTTACTTTGAGTTATCCGGCTTTTGCTATTTTTTTTTTTTTTACTTTGTGTCATGTTTTACGCCCTTTGCTGTTTTTTTTTTTGTCACTTACCTATAGGCTGCCTTTTCTCTTCATATTGATTTCACACTATAGATTACCTTTTTTGGGGTACATTTACTTTAGGTCATATTTTTTCTTTTTTTGTTTACGATTTTTTTTACTTAACTGTCTTTTTTGGTTTTTTTTCTTTAGATTACGTTTTATTCGTATTATACCTTCCTGTAATATATTATTGCTATTCTGCTGTGTTGTCTTATATCAGTCTTTCTTTTTAGTTGATCTTCTCAACAAGTTATTTACCATCAAACATGAGTGATGCACTCTTTTTTGATATTAATGATTATATTTACTTTATGAGCGATAATAAGGCTTCTATAGATACAAACAATAACAAAGAGGTAACTGAAGTGAATGAATTGGACTTGAAAAATACAAATGAACCTACATATTTATTAGTTGAGACTGAAGAGGATGGTTCAGATTTGGAGAGCGAATATGAAGATACAGAATCTATATTTTTGTTATGCAAAAATCAGAACTTTAAATCTTGAGAAGAAGTTGATAAATAAATACATTTGAAAAAATCAATTATAATCTATAGGGTAATAGCTTTTTATTAGAAAGCCAATTTCAATACTATTTAATTCTTGGTTTTAGGCATTTTGAACATTATGGTCAAGCGAAAGGTTTTACATTTTGTGTAACTCATAGTGAAAATGACAAAGTTGATAATAAACCACAATATTATGTATATGGGTATACAAAAAGACAGAAATATATGTAATACAAAGAGGCATATATACTTGATAAGAGGAATAAAGACTATAAGGCAAATGGTTGTTCCTATCATATGAATATATACCGCTAGAAGAAGAAGAATAAAATTCGAATTTCAAGTATTGTCAGTATACATAACCATGAAATGGTTAAAAATATTACCATGTCTGAACCAAGATACCGGCGATTAACTGAAGAAATACGTAATTATGTTCAATTACTTGTATCTTGTGGTATGCAGGCTAGAGTGATTATCGAGGTTTTACAACAAAAATATCCTGAGAAATACATTCATCCTTGTAATATATACAATTTGATACAAACAATTTGATATGAAAAATGTGTAGTAGACGATGCAGGTAGTATATATCTTAAGCTAATTAAAAAACAATAGGATAAACCTGGCTATTATGTTGATACAAAGTTTGAAGAAGCAGACAATTATTTGGTTGGTCTTTTTTGGATACAACCAAGCCAAATTTAATTGTGAAGCAGGTTTCACAATGTTGTTCTTATAGACATGATCTTTAAAACTAATCATTATTTGATGAAACTTTGTGTTGTAATAGCTATTGATAATAATAACTATTCACGCTTAGTAGCAACTGCAGTTATTTTTGATGAGACGAAAGTGATTTTTTTATAGATTTTGGCAAATTTACTTAAAGCATCAAATAGGTTTGCACCAAAGCTATTATTTACTGACACTGACTATGCAATAGTGGCTGCTATAAATAAAATATTACCAAGTGCAAAACATCATTTTTGTCTTTTTCACATTAGAAAAAATCTTGAGAAATGTTTTTTGAGTAAGTATAAAGAAAAAAAATGAAATGAATTTTTTAATATGTTCTGTTATGTATGAAATAGTCGAGTTAAAGAAAAATTTGAAGAACAATAGGCAGATATGTTGCAAAAGTATCCAAATTCTGTATTTTATTTGAAAAGGCAACTTTATCCCTGTCAAGAAGCATAGACACTTTGCTTTATACATAGATCATTTAATACTAGCATGCAAACTATACAAATGGTTGAATCTTACAATAGCATCATCAAAAAGCATATCAATGGCGCTTTGTCTCTGTTTGAATTAAGCAAAACTATTGAGAAATTGCTCATTAAAGAGGATCAATATCAGCATTTCAATGAGGTTGTAGATGTATTGCCAGATATTCATAATGATAATTATTATAGTAGATACTTTAAGTTGATAGATGAATCATGTCAAAAATTTTTGACAGCAGCAATTCTTAAGATTTAATGTTGTGAAATAAACTATAGTATTCATTATTGGGTACAGTTAGTAGATTTAGATGATGAGCTTGAAAATCAGGTATGTTTTAAGTAACATAAACTCTTTATGCTATTAGATAAAATGAACTTGTTATATTGTAATATTAAATAAATAAACATTATTTATTAGATGACTGACACTGATGATATATCAGCTGGAATGTTTAGTAATGATATGTTTGATGTATTTGTAATTGAACTCAAACAATTAATCGGTAATATAGATCGTACATGTATTTATGAAATTTGGAAAGTTTCATCACTTGATATGAAGAGCTATCATTTTGTATTATTATATAGAGAGTATCAGTAGAAACCAGACAAATTGTTTTTAGTAAGTTTTTTTAAAATTTTAAATTAAAATATCTCAACAACTATTAAACTAAACTTTATAATTTTTTTTTTATTTTAATTCT